TTTGGTTGCAACATCATCTATCACATATCATGAAGCAAACAAACCCCTTAGTTCTGTTTATCATGCACACAAACCAGCAGGATATCCATTCATCTCTTTTGACATCATCTGTAACATTCACACAGTTTTATCCAAGCTGTATCAGATATACTTTGAAGGTGCAGAGGATAGACCACACGATGTACCTAGTTCTGTCCATCTGGTACACATGATCAACAGAGAGCAAACAACCTTCACAGTTCTGTTTCTCCTGCACAGATATCAGCATGATGTCTTAACATGTTCTGAGACATCATCTGTTACAACATTACAGTTTTACCTTGATGTATAACAGACAGAATTATAAAGTGTTGAAGGTAAAAACACAATCAATTGTTAACCCAGTTCGGTGAAACACACCTACTCTAGGGGCATACCAAGCCAGGAAGAAGATCCACTATCAGCAATATTAATTCAGGACTAAACTTCACAAGTTCCCATCCCTCACTTAATCATTTACCCAGTGCAACCTATACCTAGGAACTCCTAGATAGAAACCTACCAGATTCCATTCCTATTGCCGCAACAACAGAAGTCTAACTCCTACTCAAGAAGTAGTGCCCTCCCACTTGGTTTCCTACATTACGATGAATAAGAAGTAATGCAAAAATACTTAGACTTGCTTCACAGCTTCGTCCAAGAACACTCAAACTCTTACCTACAGGTATCGAGTTACACACATGGTAACCTTGCCACAGATCGACAGGTTTACCTAACAGAACACCCCCAATATTACATTATGTGAGGCTTACAAATGATCTTCTAACCAAAAGGTATCTTTAGCAAAACAGCAGCTCTGTTGAATATATAGCAGCTGCAACTTCAGTTAGGGTTTCCACAAAAACCTAGGGTTAATTCCGTTTGACCTTAAGACTAGGTCACAGGACTTTATTAACCAGGTTAGGGTTGAGCTAGGTTACCCCTCAGAAAACGCAGGATTCTGTTCAGGAAAGACTGAGTTATTTCCTGAAAAAACTCAGACTTATCCAACCTGCAAACCTGTTAGTTCAGAACAGGATGTCATAACATCTGTTATGACATCTGAGAAAACCTGTCTACTGATTTAGCAAAATGTGATCATTTTGCAAAAAGCTCAGATACACACTTATAAACATCAGTACTTGAATTACAATATTTTTCTGCAAAGGTACCTAAAGAATCAGTACACACTAAACTAGAATGTTATGACATCAGTCATGACATTCACACACACTTGGGTTTTACCAAAAATACAAGCCAATAACTAAACACCTACATTCCACTACTCCATTATTCATGACATAGTAACATAAAGGTTTCTGGCCCACAGATTCTTCACACATGGCTTCATCTTCATCTTCTTATGCTTCTGACGCGATGCCATACTCATTAGGCAGGATCGACATGATATTACAATGGATAATTAAGCCATCATCTAAACTATCTTCAAAGTCATCATATAATTCTTCATCCATGTTGTCATCGGGATCCTCAACTTTCACTAGTGGAGAACTTATAACCGGTATCGACAACCTTTTTTTGCTGGTCGATGGTGCATTTATTTCTGATCACTCTCATCTTTTAATGGAGCAACTTTTAATGTCGCTTCTCTCGCAGCTTTTTTGTTTCTTTGAAATCTCCTCCACTAAGTCTTTGTCATAAGGTTCTTCCCTTTGTATATGGGAGGGACATGATATTTCTTTGATGTAATTTTAGCTTCAGCAAACTGAGAAGAACTCGATCTCTTCTCCATCATTTCCCACTTCTGACTCGAACCTGAACCTTTCTTTTACCACTTTCCAATTTTGGTTTGTCCCCCTTGGGTAGAAAGGACGAACACGATTGTTGCTAGGAGCATAAATTGGTGGCACAAAAGTCTTTTGATATGGGAACTTAGGTTTTTCTTGAGGCACTACGACTTTGTATGGCCCATTAGCATGATCGAACACCACCTTTGGATTTTTCTCTTGAGGGTGTTTCTTCTCCAAAGCCTCAATTTTCTTCGCAGCATTCTCATCATAGACCACGTTACACTTTGGGTATAACATGGACCTAGAATTACTTAACTTGCATCATTTTAGAAAATCTACAATTTCCTCCTCAGGTTTGGGAAACACGACCTTCATCAATTAAACAATCGTTTCTTCAGAAAATTCCTCATCTTTGGTTTCACAATCCATTTTTTCCTTGTCGTCCTGATTACTCTTAGGATTTTCAGCAATATCAACTACCATCACCTCCTGTGGCTTGGACAGATTGCCATTGCCACTTTTGAGACCTTCAGTAGTCTCGACTATTGTAACTACCTTGGAATCACCAATAACAACTTGTTCATTCTTGATACCATCAATAGTCTCGATCGTCAACGCTGCTATCAGCTCTGCATCTGACCTAACACTAGACGGGAATAACACTCCATACCTCAGAGTCCCTTCAGTATCTTGCAGCTTGTCAAACTCTGCAAATCTCCTTGGTATATTTCTGACTCTATGTGGTCTCTGAACTTGTTCAGAATCTCCTTCTGATTTTGAAACAATATCTCCTTCTGGACTTTCTTCCGATGTTTGACTACCACCAGAAGCTCCACCTTTGTTAGCTTTTGGACCTCGTTTAGAACTACTACCTTCAAAAATACCATCTTCAAAATCATGACCTTCACTAGAAACATGACCATCTTCAGAAGCTTGTTCTCCAGAACCTACGTCTTCAGAGTTTTTCCTTCTAGAAGCATGACCACCACCAGATTCAAAATCTGGATCAGAAACAGATTCACCATCTAACTCATCTTTAGAGTCTCTAGAATATTCTTCATCAACTGACTCTAACTTATCTTCGGAACTTTCAAGTCCTGACCCATCTTCAGAAGTAGAATCTCCTTCAGATTCTGACTCATCTTCTGATTCTTCTTCAGACTCAGAATCACCTTCGGATTCTGACTCTTCTTCAGCTTTAGAGTCATCTTCTAACTCTGAGTCATCTTCATAAACCTCAGATTTTGACTCATCTTCAGAATCTTCAACATCATCTTCTGATTCTGACTCATATTCAAACACTCCTTCAGAGTCAGAATATTCAGAGTCATCTTTTTCCCCTTCAGAATCAGAAAATGACAATCTCACAGGTTTCTCATCAGATTCATAAGCCATTAATAGCACATGTTCATCATCAGAATCTCCTCTGGCTATTTTTGCTTCTTCTTTGTTTAATCAACAATATTTAGCAAAGAGGCCAAAGTGCTTACAACAGTAACACTGAACCATTCTCTTGTCATACTTCTCCTTTCCCTTCTGATATTTCTTTTCATTAAAATAGAAGACTTCTGACTTCTGGGAACTACCATGTTTTTTCTGCTTCAGGTCCTTCTTGAAAAAAGAAGCTTTCAGAGCCTGCTTAACTTCCCTCTCAGAAGTTCTTTCATCCAGACGCAACTCTTGCGCCTATAGACTGCTTTGCAGCTCTTCTATTCTCATGGTATCCAGATATTTAGAATGTTCAATTACTACAACAATGTAATCAAATTGAGGAGTAAGCGACCTCAATACCTTCTCTATGATTACTTGTTCAGAAATGGTTTCTCCACAAGCTTTCATCTCATTAGCGATCAGAATCACTCTAGAGATGTACTCAAAAACCTCCTCGTTGTCCTTCATGTTGAGATTCTCATACATACTGCTTTGGGAGAGACTGAAGTTTCACCTTCTTCACTGATGCGTCACAACCGTAACACCTACTCGGTGTATCCCACGTAGCCTTCTTCGTCGTTGAATCAACAATTTTCTCAAACACGTTCTCATCCACACACTGATGGGTGAAGAACAACGCCTTATGATCTTTCTTCCTTGTATCTCTCTGCACATTTTTATGTTCCTCCGTCGCATCTGCTGTAACTGGAACATAACCATTTGTAACAAGCTCAAGAACATAGTGAGCACCAAACAGCACACGCATCTGAATCATCCAACGATTCCAGATTTTGCCATTAAATATTGGAAGCTTGGTGCTTAGACTACCATTTCCGGTCATCTTCAACCTTGTACAAAACACTCAGATCTCACAAACACGATGTTTCCCTATCCCACAGATCAGAAAAATGTGATTCTGTTCAGATTTTGTTCAAGATTCAACACGAATTCAAGAACCAAAATCAATCACACAACGCTTCACCATTTCGCTCGTGTTTCTCGTGGATTCCAACGGGAGCTCTAGATATCAATGGTTGGTGCACAAGATTGATAAATGAAGGAAAGATAAGAGAGAATATATTTACTGCAATGATGGCTATAAATCTTACAAAAGAAATGATTGGAAGGTTACAAATGACAGCTACCACTAGTCACACAAAGTAAATTACGTAGGCCTTGACAAAAGTAAACTTAATCACTAAGTTAAAAGGTACAAACTAGGAAATACTAAACTTAACCGCTACGCTAACAAACTCAGAACCCAGAACCCCAGAAACTAAACATACTTCTGGGCGTAACCTCGGAAGCTTCTGCTTCTGATTAATAACAACTTATGATTACATCAAATTACTGCTTCTAACTAAGCAGTCTCAGAAGCTTACAACTTCTGGCTAACAACCTCAAAAGCTCTACTGCTTTTGAATAATAACATCTTCTAAATATGAATTACCTCCAACACTCCTTCTATGGTTCTGTTGAATTTGTTTTTGTAGTGGTGATGGCGTGGTGCTCACATCCATAACCAATAGGGTAAATCTAATTCCTCCATGTCTTCAAAACTTTCCCCCTCCTTATCACCTGCTTCGTCACAATCACATATTTGATGGCTAATTCATCCAGACACATAACAAAAATTCGGCAACCTCTCGTACTTGAAGAAGATTTTCAGATTTTTGTTTTGGAATCGGACTACTACACATAAATACTAAAAGAGATTAAAAAGAGCTAGTAAATTGCATAAATGTAAATATACATTGACATGCTATTACCAAAGTCAAATATTATTACTAGTATTACTATTCAATTAAAGGCACTACTGAAAAATCTATCAACAACATTTTCACTCAAGATTTGCAACACACTGTTATGTGTTGGACCTACACATCTTGGTGTCTTATACTGACTAACAGCAGTTCCTAATCCAAGATAATGATCAAGAATCTTCTGGAACGTTTCTTTTCTAACAACTCGCAGTTCCAACGCTCCAATGGCGTTAACTTTGCGCGAACTAGTGTAGCCTGCATCAATGAAAGACTTGTCCAAACAATTGCAACACTCGCTCAACACTCGCTCACTTGCTTCGCCACTGATTTCCCAGAAGATTACATAGTGTCCTGGCTCCGAGGATAAATCAACATGGCTAGTGAACTCAACAACTTCTAGCTTCTCTTGTATTAATAACTTTGCTGCTGCTTCCACAGCTAACTGTAAATCTTTCTCCGTGTTCTTGTCGATGTTAATGTTCAAAAGAAGAGTGCTCCGACGAATAAACTTGAGTTCTGGAGTTGAGTTATGGAATCCCATAACTTTTACCACATCTCCTAACCTATATCTGTATAAGCCTGAAACGTAGCCACCAAATTTAAATGATTATCAAAACATTTAAATTTAAATTTAAATATAATTTATATTAAATAAAAAATATTTAATATAAAAGATTGAACACTATATAAGTAAGAGAATCTACACAATAAATGCTGAATGCAAGAATGCTGTCAATTTGGATCCAGAAATAAATTTGTAAAATGGTCCAAGTTTTATTTTCAGTTTTTCACATGTGATGCATGTGAATTGTTTTATTCGTGAAAGCAACATTTTTCTTCTAATATGAATGAAGAAAAAAAGTACAGGTGGTCCTTAGCATTGAATCATCCATTAATATAAAAGTACCAAAAAAAATGTAAATGATACAGACACTAATGTACCACTTCCGTTCACTTTTATTTGTCGTTTTTTTAATGCAAACTTCGTAATCATAGTTTTTTTTTTTCAAAGGTCAAGATGATGGATGACACAAGGAGTGTCAGACACCATATATGTTTTGTTTACAGGTGTCAACACACACTTTGTTCAGACGTATCAGACATCACACATATATTATTTTTAGGTGTCAGACATAAGATATCAGAGACATATTTATTCAAAGGTATCGATATTCTGAGTCTGAGGTGTCAGACAATAGAAATCAGATTTAGATATATTTTTGCTCAGAAGTATTAAACATAGACATCAAACATATATTATTCTGAGGTCTCGGACATAAGATATCAGACACACATTTATTCAAATATATCTATATTATGAGTCTGAGGTGTCAGACATCATACGTCAAACACGTCTTTGTTCAAAGGTATAGGTGGTAAAATGACTTAAAGAGGAATCTAAATAGTAGTTACCTGAGAAAGTGGTCATAACAATTTCATACTCTTCACCAATCTTCACCTCAGTGAGTCCCACTGGCTGAGGCTCAAGACAAGAAAAAGAATCTTCATCCTCAAGCTGTGTAAGAGGAATGAACTCAAAGTAAGCAATTTGAGGAAGCACAGCATAAGTTGCCAATTCAGGTGGAAGTTTTGGATTAACATTTGCAGCTATCCATCCTTCAGAAGCTCCATAATCAGCAGTCAACAAAGGTATAACACCTGCATAGTGTCTCAGTTTTTCCAAATATGCTTCCATTGAGCCTGTCATGATTCCATAAATGTACTTCGCATTCGGAAAAAGCTCTGGTATCAAACCATACCAGTTGCTTAATCCCGAACACTTTTTATGGATTATGTTCGCTAGTTCTGGATTCGGTTTGAGCAATTTCGACATAGCTGTACGAATGGAAGGAACTGTGACTCTGCTACTAAGAACACCTTCTCTTATATCATTACAAAGCTCTTCCCAAACTTGTTCAAAGGCTCTGAAAGCATGAACAATGCTATGTGCAAATGTTGAAGATACTAACTGAACTTCTTCTCGAAAAATTAGGCCGCATAATAGATGACAGTATAACGATTGGAAAAAATCGCCGCCGAATATCACTTCATCCGGACTGCAACATTGGGATTGAAGTGATCTCATTGTAGGTTTGTAAGATGGATTGCGGAACACGTTTGTTGTAGCAGTTGTTGCTATGAGTCCCCCTTTTGTTTTGAACTGTTTGCTACCATATATAAAGTTTAAAGCCTTTCCATTTTTTATAGGAAACTCTCTGCATAAAGGATAACGTACACCCTTCGATCATCATTAATAATCAAATCATTTTTTTAGACACTTATCTGAATTTTCCAACACGTGTGATATGGAAGTCAAACATCGACATATATCAAAAACACTGACGCAAATCATTTTTTGAGACACTTATTCAAATTTTTCAACACGTGTGATATGGACTTCAGATATCGACATATGTCAGAAACACTGACGTATATCGGATACCGTGACACGCCTAATAGTAAGATCTATAGGATATGATTTGATAACAATAAAAACTGTTCTGTAATCAATTCATGTATAATTTTGTTCCAAAACAAAATAGCTATTGAAGAAACAAATATTAGGAATGAAAAGAAAATGAATACCTGTTCCTAAAAGCAAAAGATGTTTTATATATCTGCATTGTGGACTCAAACAATTCATCATTCCATGGTATATACTTTGGCTTCCCCTGAGTAGTACCAGAACTGCAAAAACAAGGTAAACCAAAAAAAAAGAATCAAATTCATGGACTAACTAACCAACATAAAAGAAGAAAAAAACCAAAAAGTAAAACAAAAGAACAACCTTAAAGACATAGTAGTAATAGATTTTCCAGTGAGAATAGGAGAATCATCACCATCAAGAATTCTATAAATAAAAGGTTCCAAATCTTTATGAGTAGCAAGTGGAACACAAGCTTTGAAACTCTCAGGATCAGTTCTTCCATTAAGACCAAAATTCTTCAAATATTCAGCTGATGAATTATCCTCCAAAATTCTCTTGAGTGTTTCCCTTTGAACCCTTTCTGCATCTTTAGTCATTGACTCAAATTCTTCTATAACTTTCTCCATGTTAATCACTTCCACTTTCTCTAACATTCTCACAAACCTTCAACACAGTTTTTTAGCAATCTTAATAATGGAAACAAAAGTGTCACTAAAATTAACATTTTTTTATAAAAAAATAATTGAAGAATAGTCAATTTTTGACAGAGAGGATACACTAAAAAGACAAACAAAATTTTCAATACACTGTACCATGGTAGAAAAAAGTGAAATAAATGCTAAAATGCTAAAATATATTTCTATAATGTAGAGAGAAACTTTGAGATAAATAACCAAAAAAAAAGAAAGGAAAAAAATAATTTTTTTCTCAAAGTAATTATTGTATATTTTTTATAAAGTAAAGGAACATTATTAACTAAATTAATCTTAGTAGAGATCATTCACACAAAAAAAAAATGATGTCTAATAAATTTTGTTTTCTTTTTTCTTTTTTAGTATTCTCCTTATTTTAGCAACTTTTATATAAGTCAACTCACTTTTCTATAGACAAGAATCAAGCACTCTTCATTATGAAAAATTCTATTAAACCAAATCAATATCATATGAGAAATAAAATTAATTCTTTTTTCTAATTATTATTATAAAAAAAATATTTATAAAAAAATAATTATATATTCATTAAATAATTAATAAATATACTTTATATTTAATTAAAATACATTGATTATTCAATCAATCTAAAAATAAAATTACGGAGAATAGAATTCTCTTTGATCTCAAATTTATAGACATAGGTAAGAAAGAAAGAAAAGAAAAAAAACAGAAGTAAAAGGACAGAGAATTTTACCCAAAGTTGATAAGATGTGGTGTGGCAGAGAATCTTGATGAAATTATGTGCAAAGAATTGGATGAGAAAGAAAGTTGAGGTGTGTTTTGGTGAGTTGAAAAGAATTAGGAGCTATAGAAATAGTAGCTGGATGAAAGTATTAGGTAGAATTGGGAAATAATGAAATGAAGTTTGTGACATGGCAGATAGCTAGTAGAGACAGTGTTTTTTGTTGCAGAGTGAAGAAATAAATGATGGATTATTAGATTTGGTTGATGATTCCTTCTTGGGAGATGGAATAATCAAAGATATGTATAATGTGGATTGTGGAGTGGTTGGATTGGATTCATGGTTATATTTTTGTTTGGAATACCGATAATACCCCTTTTCTCTTGCGACATTTACGAGGGAATATTGTGTTTCTTGTTTTGTTTTTTGTTGGGACATTACTGTGCCTTTTGTTTTATTAAGACTAGTTTATGCCTTTACCGTCCACTTTATGTTTTCATATTATATTCTTCTTTCTTTAATGAAATTAAGTACTTTTATTGGTTAAAATAGACTTGTGTCTATTAAATTTATATTGAAATGGATTTGAGAAATCTTTTTCCATTAATATAAAATATTTTTCTTTAAAGAAATTAAGTAATCTTGTTGGCTAAAATAGACTTGTATTTATTAATTTAATATTGGATGGATTTAAGAAATCTAATTAAAAGATTAATATTGAACAACACTTAAGATGAAATGACAGTAGTTTCTTTCATCTTAATCAAAGAAAAAATTGTTCGAACTAAAGAATTAGAGTCAGTTTTGTAAAGTCATCCCATTAAAAATGCATCAAATTGATCATGTTTTAAATTTTTTTGAAAAGTTTAATAAGACAACATCAAAATTTAAAACATTCACCATTCACAAAAAATAATTCATGATTTTTTCTACAATCATACAAACTTCTAAATTTTATCATTCTCTTATAGTTTTTCTTTCAACGAAACTTTATTATCATCACACCGTCTCTTTCAAACATAGTCACGTTGTCCAACTCAATATTGATTGTTGTTCTCAATATTGATTGTTGTTCAACTCAACATTGTTTGTCATTGTTCATTTATGATTTGTTTGTCGTTGTTATTTTCTCACTGTTATTCAATTAAGTATATCGTATTGTTTATTTTTGTAATTATTTAATTGCTTGAATTTTATTTTTGGTATTATGTTCTATTATTTTGATTTTTGTTTGAATTTGTTTAACTTATTTTATTATAATTTTTTAATTTAATTTAAATTATTCTTAAATGAATGTTTAAGTTGAGTGTACAACTATGTTGTGTTATTATGTATATTATTGATATTGTTGTATTAATTTTATAATGGATTTTTAAAATATTTATTTTATTAAGTTGTGAACATATGATTGTGTATGACATATCTATGACATAAATTTAACCGATTTAAATCAAAAGTTTCATTGGCTCGACCTCCTATCCGATTTTTAAAAGATTATTAAAAACATTCAACTAAAGCAAAGCATGAGTTCGAATGAACGATATTCCACTCCATCATAAATTTCAATCATTAAAATAATGGACAAAAAAGTGTGTAAAAAATCATGTTAAAAAAGATAGAATCTTATTCATTTTTCAAAAGAAATATAGATATGTAATAAAATTAATAAAAAACAATTAATTATAGTGTGTTGTGACATGAATAATATAAGTCTTTGGTCTAGTTTTATGCACTATAAAATCTTTCTCTTGCCAATTGGAGACTCTTAGTATTTGGGGGTTGCTTTGATGAAGGGGGTGTCCTTGCGATTAGAGACTCCTAGTATATGGGAGGTTGCAAGGTATAATTATGTGTTTTGTAAAGTTATCTTCGTATTTTACACGCCATATAACTTTTTTCTTATTGGTTGGATATTCCCAATATCTGGGAGTTACTTTGACGAAGCATATCAAATATTGATTGGAGATTCCCTACGTCTGGGGTGTTACAGGGTTGTAATTTTTTTTTGTAAAAGGTCATAACTAAATCAGGTTTGTTATAAGCATAATCATATGAATTCTCAAATCTAGGGATAGATGATTCAAACAGGAAACAGAATTGTTTTTCATTAATTTTGTCAACTTAATTTGTAATTCTCTAGTTTACAATTACACACACAAATAGTTAATTACACTATATGCACCCCCGTTCTGTTACTCACACATTGTGTTAGATTCATAAGTTTACTTACCTTGTCCTTGTATGGTGTTAATATACGATAATTTTACTTGTCATTTTGTGGTTTTTATTGGCACAATTAATGCTACATCGATTTTTTACTCCAACAAAATGGTGTCGTTATTGGGGATTGTTGATCACTTCGACAAGACAACGATAGAAATTGTACTTGAAATTTTAGCACATTTTAAAAATAAATATTTTTTCGTTATTTTTTTAAAAGTGCTACTAAAGGTATTCATTTGTTTAGTTTTTGCATAGTGTTAGGTCTGAAAGTTTATAGTTTGATCTAGAAATCGAGAGAACAGCGAGAGAAATTTGTCGAGCTACTCGAGTAGCTAAAACATCAAATGAAAAGATGGTTGAATTAGATAATCATACTCTGGGAGATTTAAGACATTAAACTAATAACGAATTAATGAACTATGGACTTCAACTGAGGAATCCATGTACCTTTGAGATAAAAATTAGGCTCTATCTATTTTAAGAGATATTCCATTTGTGAAAGTGCTTTGATTGATGCGTAAGAATACTTAACAAAATTCAAAAATGTGTGTTAATTCTACAATCCAACTGGTGTAACTAAAAGCAAGAAGAGATTACGAATATTCCAAATAATAGTGATTGGAAGTTCTTAAGATTATATGGAGACATTGCCCAACAAAAGTATCACCATATGGGTGGAATTAGATAAGTTGTTATGGAGAAGATTTTATTTTATGAACAAATTTGTCGATCGAATGGCTGAAATAATCTAATTTGAGCAAAGAGACCTCGATTCTTTACATGATGCATGGAAAAGGTATAAATTAATGATCAATTTTTTTCCTTTACATAAACTTAATGATTTGGCGCAAAGTACAATACTTCACCAAAGGACTTTGTGGAGAAGTTATAATGCTCTTGGGCGCGTCAGCAAGAGGCACCAAATTGAAAAAATATGTAACACTAGTAAAAGAGTTTACTAATAACATGGCGCATAATGAATTTAGAACTATATCATACCATTGTGTTAGAAGAAAATGAAGCAGGTTGATTGATTCTTAGAATGTACTATTAACTAGCCACAAGAACATGAAAGCATAAATAGATTCATTGACCAAAGTAATTGGCAGAATCTCAATGGGGGTATCATCAATTAAAATAGATAAAATAAATTTTGATGAGTGACTACTGCGGGGAAGGACATGAAAGTGATCAATGTAATTCAGGAGGATATGTGAAAGAAGAAGTCAATTTATTGGATAACTTCCAAATAAATATTCCATTCTCTAGCACTTACACGCCAACATGGAAAAATCATCAAAATTTAAGATGGGGTAAAATTTTTGGCCGAGGTTCAAATCAAGGGCAACAATATTAAAACTGATACCAAAAACAACCTTACTAAAATCAACAACAGTACTCGAACCAACAACAACATCCATATCAAAACCAGAGGCAACAATATTCGAGCCAACTGCAGTAATATCAAAATTAGTAACAACCCTCACAATAGTACTATCAACCACCTCATCTAAAATAAAAATAAAAAGGAACCAAAATTAGCAACACCAACAACAATTTCAAGAACACAATCAGTAACCTATTCAAACAAGGAAGTTTTTTGAAGAAAACAAAAATCTCATTAAATATGTGCAATCTACATAAGAAAATTCAAAAACATGAAGTCAACTCAAGATACTACTAACAAAAATACATAGGCATCCCTCATAAATCTAGAAGCAGATATAGTGTAAGTATCAAAGTAACAGGTTGCTAAATTATTCAATAGTTATGAAGGAAATACTATTGAAAATCCTAAGATGAATGACATGTTTTATTCTGTAAATGTCAGAAGAAACAAGCTTGCAAAAATTCTAAGGCCCAAACACTATAGAAAATCATTGATCGAATAAACTGAATTATGAAGTGATTGAGAGAAGGAATATAGATAATATAAGGTGAACATAATGGAAGGATATGATGGAAGGTAAAAACAAAGTGGGTAAATATAGGAAAAGAGAGAAAAATAAAGCAAAAGAAATTGTAGCCTCAAAGA